GAGAGAGAGAGAGAGAGAGAGAGAGAGAGAGAGAGAGAGAGAGAGAGAGAGAGCTCTGCAACATGCAGCATGTCGGTGGCGGGCAGCACAAGGGCAGACGCTGACCTCCAACAAAAAGAAGAAGTAATTTTATCGAAATACAAGAGTTTTTCCTTTTTGAAATCCGAATAGAAAGGGTGCAGGTTGTATTCAAATACAACGTGTACCTTTTTTATTCGAGGAACTCTGCTATTCGAGAAAAGCGGACTCGCACCGTTTCAATTTCGAAAAGGGACTGCGGCCTCCTACACGCAGCTACCGGTCCTACGCCGTCCTGGACCAAAACCCCTGCGGTCCCACGGGCAGCTACCGGTCCTGCAGTTTCAAATAAGATGCCACCACCCCCTAAACTGCGATGCCTTGTTTTTCCAGACTTCCAAAGACCGTATAATGAACGACGGCGAAAAATGTTCTCAGGGGGGGAAAACGCACCCCTGACGGGCTACGAACACACTCACTGTCACATCCACACGTTGGCACACTCTTTGTTTTTCTTTCCCCAACCCTACTAGAGGAGGTGATATGAGCATCCCCCTATAGTAGACCAACAGAATGCTCCTCTATCGGTGGGCAGCAGCACCTGCTGTAAACCGGGTCCAGCTTCCCAGTCAGGACCCCACACACTGTCCAGCTTCCCAGCCCGGACCCCCCACACACACTCTTGGAGTTGTGTATAGCCAACATGACAAAAACATAAACACATCATAATCACTAGCTTACCCTTCCCCAACCACATCAACAGACAAACTACGGGTTGCGCACCCGTGGCCTCACAGTAAGTGAATGAAAATGTGGTGGTGTCCTGAGATCAGGGCGATGTGAACCAGCAGCAGACCAAATGTGGTGTAGACCTGAAGGAGGTCCGGAGGTGGAACCGCTTCACAGGGATGTTGGGCAGGGGGTTATCCCGCCGGGGTATCGGCACAGCAGGCGGCGCATCGCCGCCCGGTTCATGGCCTTCTTTCCCACCGTCACGGGCCAATTGTGCTGATCTCGTTCGGCCCTACACATCAGCTCCTGCGCATTCCCCACTTGCGAGTTGGTCCACGTGCTGACAGGGGTGGTATTAGTTTCGGTCAGGGATCTGGTCTGGGATCTGGCTCGGTCGTTGAACCGGACGGGGCGCACAGAGTCGCTTAGTTGGTTAGGTTGGGAGGTCTCATTGGCCCTGCTTTCTCCGGCGGCTTCGGCTTTGGCTTTGGCTTTGGCTTCACTTCGCTGCCTTTTGTTCGCTTCGCCTCTTTTTGCGGGCGCTTCGTTGGCTGCCTCTCCTGCCCGCCAGCCACAGCCAGAGGCACTGGGCGGCCTTTTCTCTTGGAGTGCTCTTCGTGGGAGTTCTCTCAGCTTTCTCTCGCTCGATCTCTTCCTCGTTTCTGGGGTGTACGCTCCCTGTCGCTCTTTCCTCGTCGGGGGGCTGCGGGAGCGAGTGAGGTCAGTTTAGGCTTGTGCGATTTGCCGATGTGGAGGAGGCAGTAGGAGAGAGAGGGGGGAGTGAGGGAGGAGAGAGACAGCAGGAGGCAGGTGAACGGCCAACAAGAAAGCTCGGCCGCAGCCCCGACAGCATCGCCGCCATGTCCGATTCTGCAGGGGAGGCGAAGCCCACCGCCATGTCTGCCGACGACACGACCTCTCAGAGGGACGTCCTTAATCTGCTTGACGAGAGGCTGAAGAACATGGCCTTAGGTTACCTCGAAACGTTACCCATTCGTGTACGGAAGAGGGTGGAAGCGCTGCGCACTCTCCAATCCAAGCATGATGAATTGGAGGCCGACTTTGAGAAGGAGCTGACTGCCCTGGAAGTGAAGTACGAAAAGCTTTATGAGCCTCTCTACGAGCAGAGGGCGGCCGTAGTCGTCGGCGATGTCGAGCCTGAAGATCAGGTGGAGGCGCCCCCTCCTGCCTCCACTCCGCCCGCCGAAGGCGCCGCCGCCACAGAGGACATTGCGAATGCCAAGGGTATTCCGAATTTTTGGTTGACGGCCATGAAAAACTTCGATATGATTGGCGAGATGGTCACAGCGCGAGACGAGCCGGCGCTGAAGTACCTGAGAGATGTGAAGTGGAATCGACTTGAGGACGGGAAGAGTTTCAAGATCGACTTCTTCTTCAACGAGAACCCTTATTTCTCTAACAGCGTGCTGAGCAAAACCTATCATATGATAGAGGAGGACGAGCCAGTCTTGGAGAAATCGGAGGGAACGGAGATCGACTGGTTGGCGGGAAAGAACTTGTGCGTGAAGGTGATGCAAAAGCGCACGGCGAGGAAGGGTAACAAGCCGGGAAGGATAGCGACGAAGACAGAGAAGTGCAAGAGCTTCTTCAACTTCTTTTCGGCGCCGGAAATTCCTGATGAGTTGAGTGCCCTAGACGAGGAGGAGGCGGAGCAGCTCCAAGAAATCATGGAAGAGGATTACGAGGTTGGGGCTGCAATCAGAGAGAAGCTTATCCCGCACGCGGTGTCATGGTTCACGGGAGAGGCTGTGCAAGAGGACGATGACGATGATGAAGAAGGTGATGAAGAAGATGAGGACGATGAAGACGACGATGAAGATGATGATGGTGAGGACGAGGATGAGGCTCCAGCAGCGCGAAAGAAGGGTGGTGATGCCAAGGCTTCCAAGTCCAAAACTGGCAAGGCGGACGGAGATCAACCGCCTGATTGCAAGCAGCAGTGAGTGAAGGTGTGTGTGCGTGCTTGCGTGAGTGCAGGTGGTGTGTGTGTTTGTGTGTGTGTGTGTGTGTGCGTGTGCGTGCGTGCGTGGGCGTTTAGTGTTTGTGGCCGAGATTAATGGAGAAGGTTTGACTCTTTTCGGCCTTCTGCGAAACGGTGCGGGGAGAGGAAATAGTACCCTAGTTTGCTGGTCTTTTCTTGGTCGTTTCTGTGTTTTTTTTTTCGCCCTGATTTTTTTTTGGCCGTGATTTTCTGGTTGTTTTGGTTTCTTCTTCTTCCCTCCGCTTCAATGAGTAGACCATATTCTTAGGTGAGTCTATAGAATTCCAAGAGGCTTGTTTTGAAGGAAGAGGGACGCGGAGAGAGCGTAGAGAGCGGGAGAGAGATAGCTGGGGGGATACAATTAGAGGGGGGACGTAGGGTGGATTGGAGGGGGACATTTACGGCATCTGAAGAGCGGGAAAGAAGGAGATAGCGCGGGAGCTCAGGCATTAGGGCCGTTTGTTTGCGGGTGTTGTTTTGCTAGATGGGCTTATCCTGTCCTCGCGTTGGAATTGAGGAGAAAAAATTATGTCAAGGCAGTCATCATTTTCATTTTCTTCCATCGCAATCAGAGGAGACGAAAGACTTTGTTCCCATTCTATCTGGTTTTTACAGCTGTTCGATCATCTGCCAATCATTGGTAAACAGTCTTTGGGAATATCCTGCTTGAGTGACATGCTGAAAGAAAGGTCTGTGTTTTTCCTTCCGAGGAGTTATCAAAGATGTTTCCCGGACATCATGTGAGCGAGTAACGTATTCAATTCTTTACTCATATCCTTTTGCTTCGGTTCTGTGGGTGATGACTATCGTCTTCACTGGAATGAAACGCCTGGGCATTATAGCTGTATTTAGGGCAACATTCAGTCTTGGTGTTGCAATAATGACCGGGCGTTTAATTCAGGGGAAGAAGGTAGGCGAAGTTTCTGGTGTAATACACGAACGGACGGTTATTTTGTCCTGGGGCTGAAGAACGTGCCAATGCATTCTGCGCTAGACCCCCCCCTTGTCCGATCGGACGCTTGGCGTGTGGACCAGGTTCTTCTCCTCTGTCGCTTGCTATGTACCGTCTTCCCCCGAATACAACGCATCCTCGATTTGACTGCATAGCACCGCAATTGTAGCCTGTATACATTCTTCACGATTAGGGTGCGTTGTTCACGGGGGGGGGGGAACGTAATCTTCTTTTGTGTTCTGCAATGCAAAGTGGTCATCATGAATGTGGTTCTTTTGAAATCAACTCTTTGCGTGATTTAGAGTCTTTAAATGTCGGCTTTCCAGTTGCGCGTAACGAGTTTTCGCTGCCATCTGTCCGTGTACCGGAGTGCTTGACTACAATATAATGCAAGAACGAGAAGGAGAGAAGGTATGTGTCTATGACAAGGATATTGACGGGGTCGTCGTATGCGTGTAAATTCGGTTGGGAGTGGGGGAGGGGGAGGGATGAGAAGTGGGGGAGGAAGTGGAGTGAGGAGGGAACAAAGAACGCTCCTGTTCTGTTCGCTTATGGAGTGCTGAACGGCATTTTCGGCGTAATCGTGGGCTCTCTTGTCATGTATGACTGTTTGAATGGATGGATCTTCCATCCTGGGCAGGCATGCATGCATGTGATTCGGTGTTTTCTTTTGACGAGTCCAACGCAACACGTGGAGTGGTTTATTGGTCTCTCTTTGCAGAAAAAAAGCAGCCGATTCATTTGGGGAATAGAATACGTTCCTCTGCCGACACTTTGAATGGGTAATTGGTCCCTCTTTTTGCTGAGAAAGAGCAGCAGATCCGTCGGCGAACAGAGCATGTTCCACGTGAATTTAGCGGCAAAGAACGAGGTAGTACTAGCCGTGACGCGCTAGGGGATCGAGGAAATGATTTTTTTTTTTCCCCTAAAGGTTGAAAATGTTGATATTCGCTGGATTGATTGGATGGGATCGAGGAAATGATTTTTTTTTTTTCCCCTAAAGCTTGAAAATGTTGATATTCGCTGGATTGATTGGATTGATAGTCGCTGGATTGATTGGATTGATATTCGCTGGATTGATTGGATTGATGAATGCGCAGATAGATGTGAGCAATTCTGACCCAAGATTGTTTTAATGATTTGTTTGAAAGGAGACGAACGATGGGTTGCCATTTTCTTGGGGACAAATTTTCGTGAAGTGCTACTGTAATAGCAGATGTTGCTGGATGTCTGGACATCCCTGTTGAGGAACACATTCAACCCGTGGCCTGTACGTCGCGCGCCTCTTTCTGAGAAGAGGCGGCAGAATCTGAACTCTTATCGCGTCGTCTTAGGTTGCAAATAAACAGCTTGATGAGGTCCAAACGAACTTATAGGGTTGTTTTCTCGAGGGTCGTAGTGTGGGCCAAGAGCTTGATACGCGACGATGTGTGGGGCAGGAGGAGCTTGATACGGGACGATGTGTGGGGCAGGAGGAGCTTGATATGTGTGGGGCAGGAGGAGCTTGATACGGGACGATGTGTGGGGCAGGAGGAGCTTGATACGGGAAGATGTGTGGGGGGCAGGAGCTTGAAACGGGACGTTGTGTGGGGCAGGAGCTCGATAGGAAACGATGTGTGGGGCAGGAGCTTGAAACGGGACATCGTGTGGGGTAGGTAGGAGCTTAATACGAAACGATGTGTGGGGCAGGAGCTTAAAACGGGACATTGTGTGAGGCAGGAGCTTAATACGGGACGATGAGAGGGGCATTGCGAAGAAGAGGGTTGCCCAGGGTCCCAGTGTGGGGCAGGAGCTTGATACGGGACGATTTTGAAGAGCGATCGGGGTGTATGGAACGCATCGTGTTCACGAGGTAGGGCCTCTGGAAGCGGTGTACTGCAGAGTGGACTTGGAAGGTGGAGTGAGGAGAAAGCAGTGGTGGACGAAAGGCCCAAAGGAACATATGCGAATGAGATGGGATGCTATCATGAACGAAGGTATTTGGCAATGGGAGGTTTTACGAATTTTGTTTGCGGAGTTGGGAGGCCTGGTTGTAGTGCGTGGAGAAGGGGCGAGAGATGGAAGGAGGGACTGTTTCGTCATACTACCGTCCTCACTCGAATACAACGCCCGGTCATTGTAGCGGTATTTGGTGCAACTTCAGGTCCAGAGACGGCGGAGTGGATAATTATCGGGCGTTCTATTCGGGTGAGAAGGCGGTAGAAGTTTGTTTGCGGCATGTGAACACGAACTGCTGTCAGACTGTCAGTCGCTCCGCGTGTTCCCGCCTGCGTGCGCTTGTCCATCAGTGATCAAACGTGAGCGCTGCGCTTTTGTGGGACAGACGGGACAAGGTGTTAGCAATCTTTGTACAAGATCTTCCAATCCCGAAAGATCTTCCAATCCCCCAAATATGAAGGCTACGCCTCAATTCATGTTTAATTGATTGCTTGATTATTTGATATTGATTGTTCGGTCTATTGATTGATTGATTGATCTATTGATTGATTGATTGATCTATGGATCTATTGATTGATTGATTGATTGATTGACGAGGTATGCAGCAGGAGTAACCTAACGAGCGCGGCCGTGGAGATTAGAGAATGTAGGAGGAAAACCGGATCAAGCGTCCAATGAACGAAGAGGAGAAACCTATCCTTCTGTTTTAATTTGCTTGTATGTTCAAGGGTTGGAGTGTAGTGAAGCGGCATGGACGCGGAGGGGTTGTAATCGGGAAACCAATGCTCCGCAGTGGGGTATCGTCAGCGGACGAGAGGCGCCGCAAGGGGAATTCTACGTGCCTTTGTGTTTGAATATGCGAAGGCACTTACGTGAGTGCGCTAATTCTTTCGGTGTATTGGACAGCCAACGAACGCTTCAATTTTAAGGTTTTAAGCCTGTGTTGGTGAAGGAGACCGATCGTTCATGCACGGATTACTTGTCGTTTTAGATCGGAAAAATACGAACGACCTAGGTTTTGTGCATGTGTTGGCTATGGACCGATCGAGATGCACCGAGTACCGTGTGTTTTGTAAGTTGTAGTGGTCCTGACCTCAGTGACGTGGCAGATAGGTACGGTTAATCGAACGATCTCCGCGTATTTGGGCGAATTTTTGAGGAATTTTGAAGGGCCTGTCAATTGCGAGAGGCGTTGTCGATTCTGGTAGAGGCGCTCTTTCTTGTTGGCTGTTTTCTGCGAGGAGGGAGTGTGTCCGGTGAAAAATACTGCGTGCACGCCGCCGCTTAATCGTCGTTTCGATAGTACACGGGAGGTGAAAAGAGTCTTTACCGTCGTGAAAGGGTAACCGTCGGAGTATACGATCGAGACTGAAGTAGTCCTACCTGGACAGGCGGTCTTTTCCACAAAACGTTTGTAGTAGTGTGTCGTCAATGGACAGGCGGTCTTTTCCACAAACTTCGTTTCAGTAGTGTGTCGTCAAATGGACAGGCGGTCTTTTCCACGAATTTTGTTTCAGTAGTTTGTCGTGAAATGGACAAGATCAACATCAGTTTTACCCTGTTGGTCTTTAGGAGATACAACCCTACCGTGTTCCGACGAATATAACGCACCGTCAAAATGAACGTATACGAAATATGTTTCCATCTGTCCCCGAACATAAGGCACGCTGAAAATGAACGTATACAAGGTTTGTTTCGGGCCCGATACACCCGAAATGAGGATGCGTTCTATTCGGGGGAAGATGCTACTGTCTTGAAATTAACGGATAGGATTGATATCAATTACCCTGTCTGTCTTTAGCAGAGAACCCTAGCGATAGATGATTAAGAGTTATTCATCCACAGGATGGATATGACTTAGTCGTGTGCGTGATAGATGATTAGAGTTATTCATCCACAGGATGGATATGACTTAGTCGTGTCCGATGATCTGTAGCACAGAGATAGTGGTCGAAGTCGGGTTGCCGACGGCTATAAGACCATTTATCGTTGATTACCCAAATCGTCGATTTTGTCAAAATTAATGCGGCAATGACTCTCGTCAGCACTTCCTTCGTTCGTGCCTCTGCCAATCGCTCAGAAGCGATGATATGATATTGTACTTAGCGTTTTTTAGGAGGACGATATCCGTTAAGAAGGTGGTGATTCATTAGAGGTGTCCCACCGTGTGCCTACATTTAATGGAATTAACGACGGGAACACCCTGGAATCCTCGAGTCCTACTTACCCGTCTTCTCCCGAGCATAACGCACCCTGAAAATGAACGTATACAAGGTATGTTCCCGACCGAATACAGTCAAAATCCGATGCGTTGTGTTCGGGGAAAGACGGTAGCTATAAGTCTACGTGTAGCTGTCGTTGGAGGGGCCTTGGCTCGACGTTAAGCAGTTCATCACGGCTGTGACAACATCACAATGGCCCTGAAAAAGATGGACCAATCACTGAAACGGAATGTGGAACAGGCTAATCATCCGCCGCAGGATGGTGCCTTGGCTCGACGCAAAGCAGTTGAAGGAACTGGCTTGTCATACGCGCAGAATGGGGGCTCGAAAGCGTGTAGCTCCTACATGATTTCCCATCATCTGAAAAATGTGCGACTTCAAAGGATTTCGCAGAAGGCATTCTTGTCAGTATTCTGTCAGTGATTTGATATGTGAAAAACGAAGTGGCTTCCCTATGGTTGGGGATTGGTCGATGCCTGGCAGTTGGTCGGGCAGTTGGCTATTGGGGTCGGCAAACTGGGGTTAGCAATGAGATAAAGGGCCCTGCGAGTGGGTCGGCAGTATACTATTAGCCTGGGGAACTGGTTTGGATGGGGGGTGGCCGAGTCGACGAAAGGGCTTGGGGGGGAGGTAATTCACTGTTTAGGCCGGGGAATAGTCTTTTTGGGTGTGATTGTCGGGTTGCTACTTTTGACCGCCACGGCTACCTTCTTGCCCCAAACACAATGTACGGGCATCATAGCCTTTATCTAGACTGAAAGATGCCTCAAATTCAGCTATAATGGCCGTACGTTGTATTGGGGGGGGGGGGGAGAAGGTAGGGCAAAGGCAAAACCACTTGGGAGGGGTGCTATTTATGAGACAGACAGAACAGGCTATATTAGCTGGTCAACTGCTGCCACTGGTACGAGGGTAACTTGGGATGTTCTCGGGTCACGAGCGTGTGCCAGGGGGGGGGGGGGGGGGGGGGGGGAAGGTAGTAGTAACCTCTATGGGGGCGACGTCTCGTTTCCCTTCTGGTGGTGTCGACGTCTCGTCTCCCTTCTGGTGGTGTGTTTTTTCCTGAAGTTGGCGTGCCGGTGGATGCCTACAGTCTTCCCCCGAATACAACGTACGGTCATTATAGCCGAATTTGGTGTATCTTTCCGTCTAAATTCAGCTATAATTACCGCACGTTGTATTCGGGGGAAGACTGTAGTGCCTATATTGGTCGTCATTTGCGAGTCAACAGTAAGGTGCCCATATTATCCCCTTTTACGGGGGTGGGAATTTTGGTTGGTCGGTGGGGTAGTAGGAGAGATTGCACTGTCAGGGCTGCGCAGACAGATTGCTGTCTGCTTTAAGGCACGGCTTAGCTGTCGTAGTTGAGTGAGGAGGTTTTTTTAGAGGGTGCAAGAGGATGGGAACGGTCTTCTTTTTATGGTCCCGTACTGGTACCCGTCTTCAGGAGATGTGGTTTGTATGTATTTTTATCGGTCTGTATCGTGCCGGTTTTGTGTGTTGTGTACGGTTTACAATGATTTCCAAGTATAATTGCACAATCATGGCGTCTTTCTTATACCTTTTGCATCTTTGACGAATGACTAACGACTACTATCTGTTCCTCTACAATCGCACCTGTGTGCGGGTTATCATAGGTAATGGCACCTGTGTTTGGATAAGCATTTAGGTGTTTTCGTTTGTAGTCGTAATTTGGTCTCAGGCA